CCCAAAACTGGACACAGTACTCCAGATGAAGCCTCACCAATGTCAAATAGAGGGGAACGATCACGTCCCTCGATCTGCTGGCAATGCCCCTACTTATACAGCCCAAAATGCCGTTAGCTTTCTTGGTAACAAGGACACACTGTTGACTCTCATCCAGCTTCTCGTCCACTGTAACCCCTAGGTCCTTTTCTGCAGAACTGCTGCCTAGCCACTTTGTCCCTAGTCTGTAGCAGTGCATGGGATTCTTCCATCCTAAGTGCAGGACTCTGCACTTGTCCTTGTTGAATCTCATCAGATTTCTTTTGGCCCAATCCTCTATTTTGTCTAGGTCCCTCTGTATCCTACCCCTACCCTCCAGCGTATCTACCATTCCTCCCAGGTTAGTGTCATCTGCAAACTTGCTGAGGGTGCAGTCCACGCCATCCTCCAGATCATTAATGAAGATATTGAACAAAACCGGCCCCAGGACCGATCTTTGGGGCACTCCGTTTGCTACCGGCTGCCAACTAGACATGGAGCCATTGATCACTACCCGTTGAGCCTGACAATCTAGCTAACTTTCTATCCACCTTATACTCCATTCATCCAGCCCATACTTCTTTACCTTGCTGGCAAGAATACTGTGGGAGACTGTACCAAAAACTTTGCTAAAGTCAAGGAATAACACATCCACGGCTTCCCCCTCATCCACAGTGCCAGTTATCTCATCATAGAAGGCAATCAGGTTAGTCAGGCATGACTTGCCCTTGGTGAATCTATACTGACTTTTCCTGATCACTTTCCTCTCTTCTAAGTGCTTCAGAATTGATTCCTTGAGGACCTCCTCCATGATTTTTCCTTGTTTTTTTTTTAATCATATTTCTCTATACCTATTAGCCAGGAGTGTGAGTGGGAATCAAAACAGAGCTATACATTCCATTTTCTACAAGGTCATAAGAATTAGTAATATGCACTTTAGGTTTATCACTACAAGCTTTAAAAATGCTGGAATCTAAGAACTTACAGCAACATCCTCTAGTCAAAATTTGGATATTCAAATTTGATCAGTATTTTTGGATTGCAGTGGCTGTTTGGGTCTTTTCAATCTATTCCACACCAAAACGGACTAGCAATTAAAAAAAAGGGGGGGAGGGGTGACACGATACTAATCAAAGTAAATTGAGCCATGCAACCTCCAGGACTGATGCCTGCTCACCCCCTTTATCCTTTCACACATTGGCCTCTGCCAAACAATTCAGTACTGCCACTACAACACACCACGTGATAACAAGTGCTTCAAGCATCTTACGATATTTATTACTATCTACATGTCTATAAGTCATTTTGCACAGCAATGTATGTGGATACTAACATGAGTTATTGCATTGAAGATGTAAATCTCTCCCAGATCTTTGGCAAGAGAGTTGTTTTTAAAAGTGTGGGGAGAGATGCTTTTGTATTTTTTCTTCATTTCACTCAGAATAGAGAGGCTAACCTAAGAGAACGCGTGCTACAGGTTCACACTCGCCACTTACTCCCTTTTGCACCCAACCACACGTAGATCAAGCAATATATTTTAGACCCCAGAGAACAAGGCATTTGTGATTGGTGTCTTTTCCCCACGTTTGACTAGAAAGTAACAAATGTAAGCAGCAGTTTATTCTTAATGCTGACCTCCCCTATAACTAAAATGATATGCCAGTGGCAGGTGGCAAGTTTGAGGGGGGATGGGAGTTGTTTCTTTTCTTTCTTTCTTTTTAATAAATATTACAACAAAGGGCAGCCAGATTTGACCTAATGGGTCAACCATCAAGAGTTAAACTGATTTAAATAATTAGACCTAGAATGTCAGGCACCACCACAAATAATTGCTCCTAATGCTTTTCGGATTAGATTGCTAATGAAAAGGCACAAAAAAGAGGCCACTTGCAGTTGTGGAAATAAGTCAATTTTCCTTTCATATGTCATTTTCTCCAAGCAGAGCTACTGTGATATGATCCTAAGGAGCCATTTATGGTTCTCTCTCCAGAACTGCAGCAGCATAAGCAATAGCTTGAAGTCACAAAGAATTCTGACTGTGCTATTTAGATGTACAGAGCATTTATTAAACATCAAAATTCAATATTTGTTCAAACTTCAGGATGTTTTTCCAGTGAAAACAATTGTTAGGAGTAGCATATTGTTTTCTCCCTTAGTCGGTGTATACATTCAACCAGATGATTCAAATTCAAACAGCATTTTGCAGTATTTTAAGCTTCCTTCAATCAAAAGATAAAACAGTAGTTTTGTAATAAATTGTGTTCTTATTGGTTTTTGGCTTCTTGCATGAATATATTCCATAATTAAGTCGTATCCAGTGGGATTTGAGTAGCCCTCTGGTACATACTTGGTTTCATATATAATTCATTAATTTTATGTAGAGCTCTACACCCTTACACTCACAGACATTGAATGCAAACTTACAGCTCCCTCAGTAACAAGAAGTAGCTGTTGTTGTGTTTCTAAATTGCAAGTCTTCCTAGCAAAAAGTTTGCCGAAGTTATCACATCCCAGAGTATATTATAATTTACACAAAAGACTCAAAGCTGCGCCTAAATAAAAGGCTCTCTGCTTGCATTAGCCACACTCTATGCACGGTATCCAGCACTGCTGTAAAATGACCAAATAAGAGCGCCCAGCTGGCAGCACTGATAAAGGGATAAACAGACACGCTGGAAAACCCTCCACCCCTCACTAAGATGCCCACTTCTACGTGGGACAAGTTCAAACAGAAGTAAATTATTGACTTCTCCCCTGTAGCATGGTCACTATCAACTCCGACTGGGTGTTTGCAACACGCCCCGAACTGCAGCGAACATAATGGGCGACTTACGAGAGATCGCCCCGCAGCAGCTGCCGAGCGTGGTCATTTCCCAGGCGCGAGAGATTTTCATTCAGAATTCGGCGGGGGTAAAAGATTGACTCACACTTTTTTACAATTCTTATTGATCTGGGAAGAGGGAACCCACGTAAGCCTCGGCGCCCCCATTGAGAAAAAGAAGAGTTCACGGCTTAGCCATGGGGATCCCACCGGGTCTTGCTTTGTAACGAGGGGGGGGTATACAGCTGAAGGGGGGCAGAAGCCCCACTCCGTGGAATATAAAATGTTACGCTCCGGTCTGATTTAACAGCAGCTTGGCCAGGCTTTAAATCTTTCCCCCAGGTAGCTCGGGGACTAAATGGATGGGGGAGGGGGATGCACCGGGAAGCCGGGTCCTAGCGAGCCCCAAACAGTGGGGCTGCGTACGATCCTCTGCTCCGTCCATTGCATTGGAGACGGTGCAGTCGGTAACAAAAGCCAGAGACACCCCCCTACCACACACACACACACAGCAGCGGCGGCTCCTCCGTCCGTCCCTCCTTGATCTAAGGGCGGCGGAGAGGAGGAGATGGGGCAAAAGTTCAATGCGATCCCACTGAGCGGTAGGGGTGCCTGTTTGGGGGAAGGGGTCAGGGGTAGGAACCCTGGCCTCTGGGCTCCAGAGAGCGGCAGGGAAGAAGAACCGAAGCCGGCGATTGCCACCCGTGTCTCGCTCTCCCTCCTTAGCGCTCCCCCGGGGAGGTGGGGGGTGGAAATAGGTGGACCGTGGGGACGGGGATCTTCACGGAACCCCCCAGCACAATACAGACAAATGCAAAACACGCCCCCCCCACCCCAATGCACGGCTCCCTCCCTGCCCAAGAATGGCTCCATCGCTATCTCCAAGCAGGGGGCGGGGAGGGGGTTAGGGCAGCTAGCGACTCCGGGGGCTGCTGGTCCCCCTGGGCTCCTCCAGGCAGCAGCTGCCGCAAGCTTCCCAGTGCCCCCTCCCCCCGAGCGCCAGGCATCAAGCAAGAGGGGCAGAGCACCGGGGGGGGGGCAAAAACTTTCCAGCCGCTGCGACCAAATCGCAACGATTTACCATCCCGAGATCCATCCAAATGCACCCCCTTCCCCGCCCCCTTTCCCTGCAGCGGGGACAGCACATGGGGGGAGAGAGCAGCGGCTGCCAGACACGGGCACTGCAAGGCAGGGGACACCCCCCACTCCCTGAGCGTGGGCCCCCCCCCTTGCACCCATGCAGTGGGCACATAAAGAGCAGGGGGCAGCCAGGCTGGGCGGAGAGCCTGCCTGCCGCGTCCGGCCCCCGACCGGGGAGCCCCGCGAGCCCCGGACCCTGCACGGCCACTTTGTCTCGTTACCTTTTTTTATTATTATTGCATCGGTAGCAGCCGCTTTGCTCCCCCTTCCCCTTCGGCTCTCGGGCTATACCAGCCTGTTCCTCATCTCACAGCCTTCCTCCCAGCGCCATCTTGCAAGCTTGTGACGTTGGGAGCTGCTCACCCCTGACCCACATTTGAATAGAAGCCAAAATGAAAAAAAAGGGGGGGGGAGAAAGAAAGAAAAGAAAAGGAGGAGAAGGGGGAAGAGAGAGGGAGAGGGGGAAGAACAAAAAGAAAGAGAAGGAGAGAGAGAAAGGCAACAGCTAAGCAAGTGCTGCGCCAATAACACATCAGCTCCTGCCCTCTTGCCAGCTAGTTTAGTAATAAGCAATTTCCTGCTTTTGCAATAAATGTTGCAGCAGCGGAGCTGGGAGAGAGGGACAGAGAGCTTTGTAATTCCCATTAAAGGACGCAGGCTTCCCCCACCCCCTTCCCCTACCACCCACACCTCCGAATTCAACCCCGCAATCCTAGCCCTAGTTTATGGCAATCTAAATAGTGCTACCCACGCTCCGATTTTCAGTAATTAAAAAGGCATTTGTGAAGATTATTTTTTTCTCTCCTAGTGAGATCTAGACTGTCTGTAAAAGAATGATAGGGAATATAACCTGTAAATGTGTTGAGATTTTCTTTTTAAAAAATGAGTTTCATGCTGTATGCAAAACCAGAAAAATTTACAATGCAATCTGTATGTTGTTAGTTTATTATTACCATTATTTAAGCACTGCCAGTGTGTTCTGTATCATACAAGATACAAATAGAGACATAGCCCTTGCCCCAAGGAGTCAATAGGAATTTAAGATTTATTTTATTTATTGGAACTATATTGGAGGGGAAAGTTGTTTGGGATTTACATCCTCAGTCCTGCAAGAATTTACACCTGTTTAATTTTAAGCACAAGAGTAATTCCCTTGAACAAAATGGGACTAAGTGCTTAAATTGACCATGTGCATAATTTATTTTAGGATTAGGTCTTTAATTTTAAAAATGTGAACCGATAGATAAGCTTCAACTTTTCCACATTGATGAGCATGGCCAGCAACATGCATGTAACGCTGAATAGGAATAATATTTAGTATTACATTTTCAAATGTGTTACATTTTCAAAATGTTATACAGAACTTAGCTAATTAACCTCTAATAATGAAGCAACATATATGACCACATATTATGGCAATTAGATATAAGATTATTTTGCTCCCACATAGAAATAATTGGAATATTTGCAAGTGTGAGATAATGTTTTCTTTTTATATGATATGTTATATATTTATTAATAAAGGAGGAAATTATTGTGCCAAGGGGGTTTTGCCTCTAAGAAGCAAAGTCCTCAATATCGCCCAGGACCCAAGTCCCTTTTACATTGGGCAGGGTGATTACGTTAATTACGTTGATCCTGTAATTTGTAATGTCTCTGAGAATTTGATGGTAGCCCTAGCACTATCAAGTATTTCAGGGGCTTCTTGTGCAGATCCAGGCAGTTAAGCTCCATCATAGCCCCACAGCCTACATTAGCCTTGTCTGATGATAAAGTTCCTTTCATAGTTGTTCACCTGGGGTTCAAAGTTTTTGCCACAGAGGTCTCTCAGGCCCACCATAGAGGCCTGAATAGACAAATAAAGATAAGACAGATCACAACAGAGTGTCAGAAGGGTCTGGACTTGCAGTACTCTCACCATACACTCAGTAAAGAGCAGAAATCCTCAGCAGTGGAGAGAACAGCAGAACTGACTGTGAGTACAAGACACAGCGAATTAGATAGAGATCAGTTCAAGACTCCTGCTTCACTAATGCTCACAGGGAAATGGTGATGGGACTGGTTTCCAGCTGTATTTTAAAGCTAGTGGCCTTGCAAAAAGCTAGAGAGGTGCAGCTATCTCACTCCATGCTGTGCTGGAGGAGTTGTAGGATAATACCCAATCCTTGTGGCATGTGAATTTAGCAGGGAAGAGAAACAAATCTGGAAGCTGTTTTAGCCAAGTTTAGAAATTACTTTCATCCCAAATCTCCATAGGTTTGGGGACCATCCATTCTGGACACATCCACTCTAAGGAAATGGAGACAGAGACAAATATCTAATGGAGCTGAGACAAAAAACTATAAATTAGGAGGTTGGCACAGTAGAAAATGCTACGATAGGACACACATCTGTGTTCAGCTTAATATATATGTAAGAGTTATATGGCTAAAGAGGGGCTAATGAGAAAACTAGACCTGGACCTTCCATTAAAACTGTTGATATCTGAGTATCTGCTGGAACAAGTAGGGCACAGGGCTATGACTACACCTCCATCTGAACAAGACTTACAGGCATACAAGAGAGATACCAAGATACTTATAGTGTGTCCAAACAAGGCACACAGCCATGGATGTTGCCATCCAAACAAACAGTGCCCCCCAAACACACCCACTGTGGGCATGTCTAGCATTGGGTACATGTGCCCAGTAAAAGTACTACTCAGGCATGGACAGCAGCAATGTCAGGGCCAAGACCAAATGAGAAAGACAACTCTGCCATAAATACATTGTTCCTGGGGACTGTGGTGTGGCACATATGAGTAAGTTTTGAGAGATGTTTGGTACTCAGTAATATCTTGAAGAGGATAACCATTCCAGTTCTAATCAGATACTGGTGCTTATAACTGTTATTTTTTAATATATATATGCTGCAGCAGCCCTCTGAGGCCCCAATCAGGATTGGGACCCATTGTGCCAGGTGCTGTACAGACACATACAAAGACACTGACCTTGTCCTGTGGATCGTGGTGAATATGTTGAAGACACTGGAGCCGATGCAAGTAGAACAAACAGATTTCATCCTATTGGTGTATTAATAGTTCAGCAGAGAACCTGAAGAGCTAGTAAACCTGGTTGGAATTATATCCCCTACTGGATAGCTCAGTGGTTTGAGCATTGGCCTGCTAAACCCAGGGTTGTGAGTTCAATCCTTGAGGGGGCCACTTGGGGATCTGGGGCAAAATCAGTACTTAGTCCTGCTAGTGAAGGCAGGGGGCTGGACTCGATGACCTTTCAAGGTCCCTTCCAGTTCTAGGAGATGGGATATCTCCATAAAATTTCTAGTCTCCAGCCCTTCCTCATAAATGTCTCAGTGACACTGTTTCTGGGCAGAGAAGCATTTGTGGACCTTAATATTAAATACAAGATGGAGACGCTGCAGGCAAAATATTTAGGTTCAAAACAAGAGTTGGTAGATGAAACCTCAGAGGGTTTTCAGGGCTGTAGTGAGTTTAAAGGCACTTGCCACCCATGGATGGACTTTAAAGCCAGCCTTTCAAAGCTATGCTGATGGCTGGCTTATGCTCTTGGTAAAAAGGCAGGAGGACATTGCTGAGATGTGTAGAGTTGAATCCCTACCCTGTGCGTCAGCAGTGAAGCCATCACAGAAAAGAACATGTCACTGCAGAAAATAAAGAGGACTCCGGAGCTGGTGTGCCCCTGTGCCCTGACAGCCATTCAGCACCACCTCTTCCAACGGCAGTGGATGTCCAGTGCCACCTAGCAGGCAAAGCAGTTGTTTACAATAGTGAATGAAAAGGGTGGGTATGGGTGAGTTAAACTCGACACTGTGTTCTCTTTCTGCACCTTGTATGCAGGTGCAGATTTAAATAATCACTTTTTGCTGTTAGGCAGCAAGGGAAATTTCCCAGCAGTGAAACTTTCAGAGAGGTACAAGAGAGCCACTTCATTGGCTTATTGCAATGTCTTTATTGCAGATGCAACATAGAAAATAATCTGACTGCAAAGGACGGCAGGGTATAAAATGTACAAAGGAAGAAAATGTTGAACTAAATCAGGAATCAAATGCAGTTCTAGGAAGGAAGCAAAGTACATGGGGGCAAATAATCATACCACCAAAGGTATGAGTGAAAGGAAAATACAGGCAATAGCTAACCTACCAGCTCCACAAAGACAAGAAGTGGCTACAACATTTTCTAGGCATGGTCTGCTGCCTGATTTACTGCATCCCGAATGGGAGAAGACTAAGCATCCCACTGAAAAAACTGTTTCTTAATGATATGAGGATGAGAACATAAGATTGCCTACGAGCAACTGAAATGCATCTTTTTAGGCATTGGTACTGAAGTTCTGACCTAGACAACTGTGCGAATTGTGCTCAAGTGGAAAAAGATCTGTTGGTAATAGTATATACAATGTAGTCGTACCAATGTCTGACAAAGAGGTCCTTCTACAATCAGACCATAAGCCCCTGGAAGGCATGTTCACTAACCCACTCAACAACAGACACTCCAGAATGGCCACGAAGGAGAGTGTTTTATGCCAAGATGTATTTGAAAAGCTTCTCCATCTCTTCTAGCTTTTCAGCTGTAAATACATCTATGCACTATTAGACTATTCTCACTAAGACCTCTTCATAATTAGGTTATTTCAATTTCCAACCCCTTTTTGTGGGTTATTGCGGCTCGAATTATTATTGCATGATGGATGCTTGCAGGAAAATTACTTTTTTACCCTTGCATATAAAAACCTCCACCTCTAAAAAAAATTCTTTAATAATTACATTCTAGACAGTGCTGGAATTTCACTTTCATTTTTCATGGAGCTTTGTTCCAATGGAATTGAAAGGCAAAACACAAGTTTTTAAGAAACACGTGTTTAATTTAGAAGAAAACTTTCCTGAAAACATAATATGAATCCAGAGCTATCTAGTGAAGAGATGAATTGGTTAGGTCCAACCTCTCAGAGCTATTGTTTTTGTCTGCCTAGCTGTAAACTCCGTGGCCCGGTCCAGCACTGGTTCAGATTTGGAAGATTCTCTTTGCAAACAGTCCAATATCATATACACAATGATATAGTATTTTAATTTCTTTGGGAGAAGGAGGGACAGTTGTATTACTATAAGACGAGTTCTTTTGTTTTACACCAAACATTTTATTAATGCACTGCAAAATACCTATGTCTGCCATGTTAGCGGTTATAGTCTGTGCAGTGGTGTATCTCCATTAGACTATGGGTACACAATATCACAGGCGGAAGACAAGTGATCAGTAAGTGCGTGTACAAATTTCAGACTGATTTGCTCAGTTCTACTTTTATTTTTGTACTTATAACATCTTTGGTTAGCGTTTTTGCTAAGATAGGAGTACTAAGTGGTATTTTACATTGTCTATCACAAACCATAGAACCAGCAAGTGCTTGTTAAAATGCAGGTCTTCTGAAATACCTGTGGAGAGGATTTTCAGATTATATGTAGCCTAGAATTAATCTCTCTCTGTCTACATGTTAGAAATAAATATTACAAAAGCAAATACAACAATAAATAAATGCTTTTTTACTTTCTTTGTGT